AACAAACATAATACACAATATCTATCTACAAGTAAGCAGTAAGTTATTGTAAAAAAATAATGCTTTTTTAATAAGTCTAAACAAAAACTTATATTATTTAATAATCACAGAGTAAACTTATTTTAATTACAGGTTTTCAAACAGTGCGTGTTCTAACAAAATGTTATCACTCCATTTTCTTTTCCCTAAAGGTTAGCAAAGACAGAACATTAATGAGCTGATAAAAGCTAACATTACTATTTAGTAAATGAGGACATGTTTAACAAATAAAAGTTGATTTGTCAAAACCAATACACTGCTTATTTTTGGTATTTGTGTCACAGCATTCTTTATAAATCACACTTAAAATAGTGATTATTTTACAGTGTTATTAACAAAGTTATTATAATGTGATCACCTACACTTTCAGTTTTTCCCAGCAAGCTTCACAAACGCGAACTTCCTTCTCAATACCAAAACGAGGTATAGCTGATGTCTTTGAAGAGCACTTCCCACAGAAAATCTGTCCACAGTTCCTACAATGATGCTGTAAAACAACAAGTGTAATAAAAATATAGATTTCAACCATACATGAAACAGAGAACACTTGCATATCAAATTTCAAAATTAAAGTAAAAAAAAATTGTGTTTCAACACTTTTAAATTAAAAAATATTTTAGAGTTCATATTTTGTCAGTTTTAGCATTTATTTAGTGTAATTTGGAAAGACAAATTAAAGAAATGTTCCTTAATATTTCTGCATGCCTCCAAAGAATTTCACCTGTAAACAATGCATTTATAAATTTGTTTAGAATTTTTCTGCCCATTTCAAAGAATAGGTTTACATTTGCTCAGAAACTATCATCCCTTGAGAACATAATTACACAAGTATTGTTACTAATGTGATTACCTTTCTCTGTTAGTTATTTTATCATTACAGTTCAGCTTCAGAAAAAGCTGAACAGAGCAGATTATAGACTATTTGTCATTTTACAATAAAAAAAAAAAAAAGTAGGTTTTGAACACAATTTTATGGTTTCTCAAAATATTGACTGACCAAATCTCCAGTAGGGGTGAACAAAGGAATATAATGATAAGAGCAGAAACTTAGGAACAAACATTAGATCTGGGAATTTCTTTAGATGTTTTTGTTCCTGAAAATGCTTCTGTGTTAAATTATATCTGTTTAAAAGCTATGATATCACATAAGCTTAGTTGTGTTTAGCATATATTACACAACAATAAAACTTTATCTCAACCAACAATATTGTTAGTATAAATCACAATACCTAGCCTGGCAAAGGTAACAATGACATTGTTTGAAAGGGAGGTCATAGGTCACCACCACATCTTTGCCAAATTTTGCAATGTTTTTATGAATTATATATATATAGCCAGATATGGCAACTACTCCAACTGGCAAAATAAATGTTAATGACTATAAATCAAGTTGGAACTAACTGATATATATATAAACTGGAACTTTCTTTACAACAATATAAACATTTTAAGACACAAGGAAGCATTTTATAATATTTTTTCAAAACAATGTCTCAATCAAATTTTGGAAATACAAAGTCAAATCATATTAACTTTTTAAGCCAAAACTAAATACAATTTAGTAAGTTTGTAACTTAGTTTAATGCAATTTGATTAAGCATTTTTGTGAGAAAGAAAAAAAATAAGAAGATATGAGTGACACCTTTCTAGTCCAAAAGTGATTAAAAAACAACACATACAACAAACACAGAGATGAGAATTTCTGAATGATCATAATGAATATATTTTATTTTCCTTTTTAACAAAACAAAAACTTTGATAAATTTATAGGTCTTCTGCATCTTAGCAACAATGGATAAAATGTTAACTTACCACTGATTGTCTATTGTTACACAGACCTTTTACATAAAAACTTAGTTATGTGCATCTTAAAGTACTGTGAGTATCACTTCTAATAAACAAAAGTACCTTTCTCTGGACTACTGTGAACTGTACTCGACAACGGTTACAACAATCTCCATCGGTCCAATCTGGAGCAGTGTCAGCAGAAAACATGGCATCACTCTCCTTTACAGTTGGAAATTTAAAACCTATGTTAAAAACACAACAATTTTAACAAAAGTTTTTATGCAACAAATCTTGACAATACTAACTTAGTACAAGCTATATGATTAAATAAATACAAGAACTGTTGTTAAAAACAATGTTGCAGCAACAACTAAAAAATATTTAATATTTAAAAAAAGTACCTCAAAACCGTATAAGAGAATTTCTTTAAATAGATGTTGACAGGTTTTTTTATTCACTCTCCTTCCAATTCTCTACATTTTCTATGTAGGCTGATTTCACAGATCCGAGTGCTACAAGATGTTTATTTTCTAATTTCACAGGTCGAAGTGCCACAAGATTTTTTTCCTCATGAAGGGGGAGCATCCGAGATGTGATTGTCGTGGTGATAAATTAGCTCAGTAGTTGCTGTATAAAACCTATGACTTTCTCCTGAAGTGCTTTTTTTGGTGATTCCCTGCTTGGTTGGTGTCTGCAGAGTCATTATGGAATATCCAATTAAGAATGATGGATTGTATTGTCTTTGCACTGCAAGGCCCTAAAGAAGAATTCTGCTTGAAAGTATTGTTGGTGTTATGCAACGCTGCTGAGGCTTGTGAGGTGTAATAGGGCCTTGATTTGAGTGGCTAAAATACATCCTGTGACCAGCCTTAAACAGAAGTTTTGTATCTTCCCAATCTTATCTAGCCATGTAGCAAACATACTGATCATTGGCAGTGCATAATCCAGGATACTATAAACAAGACTGGTAAAACATAGCAGGTGACATTTTTAAACTTTTCCCATACAGGTCAAAGGCCATGTCATCACGTTTGTTGACTCGCATTAAAAATTTTATTGAACTACTATTTTATTAATTTATGTCATTAAGTTTGGTATTAAACTATAGATTACAATTCAAATCTTACTATTATACATTACTCAATTTCTTAATTTAAACACTCACCTTTTTACATTTTTGGAAACAGTCCCTTATATGTATACTTCTGTATATGACATGTGAAGAACCAATCAAAAGCTCAGAATGTCTCCCTAGTGTCTTTCTCAGCCATTTTCAAATATAACTGCATTATTTATTTATTTATTTCGATACAAAATGGTATAGAGGTGCTGAGTCTTTAGTCTGCTCAAAATTTCATATTTTTCAGACCCAAATGTAGCTTAGTTACTAAAATTAATAAATTATAATTAAGTTCTATGGTATCGATATAGTAATTTATGATTTTTTGGTTATTCAAATGTATATATAAAACCTAAAGAAAAATATTTCCTTTTAAATCCTATACACGTGAAATTTCTTAAGGGTTAGCAAGCTATGACAAGAGCAACCAAGTACAAAGGTCAGAACTAGAAGAAATAAGTGTTTGCTTTACTTCTTTGTTTGCTGTTCTTTGTTTTAAGAAAAATAAATTTAAAAAGTTATTTGTAAATAGTAATAATCTATATACATATATAATGTATAATAATTGAAATGTGATGGTATTTTACAAAATACTAGTTCACTACAACACAGCCAAGACAGGACACTCTGTAGAGACTAAACGTCAGTTTTATATTATTGGATACAGTAACACGTGTGCACGTGTGCCACATCATTGTAACTTCTGTATTGTTAGCCAGGCATAGCTGAAAGGTCAATATAATAAAAATAATAAATATATATAAATGTATAATGTTGTGAGATGTAAGCTATTTAGTCTAAACAAAAAGGCATAATTGATATTTCCTAATTTTTTTATGGTGGTTGCGAGATCGATCAAATCGACTGAACCCGTACAGATATTTGTTAATGAAAATAACAGATAGAATATAAAGTTTTTTCATAAGAAACATTTGATAACTATCTGGATATTATGAGGATTTCACATGTGAAAATAAAAAAAAAGGCATGAGAAAAACATTAATTTAGAAAAAATCAAAATTAAATATTTTATTCTTCAAAAACTACATACTTGTAGGACCTTTCATCTCAAATTTAAAAGAATTTCATCCACTAGTTTCATTTTTGTAAAGAACTTTCATGGGAGTTGCATATCAACTTGTAATGTAAGTAGGTCAGAGTCAAAGGGTTAAGCAAGTCTTATTGTTGAGGGTGCAGAACATAGCTGAGGCTTTGTCAGGACTGATGATCATTCCTTTATCATTGCACCATTTGCTTACTATATTAACAGATGTTTGCTTCTTTTTTTCAATTTCAGTTTTGCTATAGCTTCTGCTGTATATCAAAACGTTGTCAGCAGACAGTAATTGAATGGAGTGTCAAGGTGGACTAAATCCATGGTGAAGATGTTGAATAAGACTAGTAAAAGTGGTGACCCAATCTGATTGTCAAGTTCCATGCTTCATGATGCATCTTCTGGTAGTTAGTACAGTAACAGCTTGTCTTACATTGATGCTTATTCTGAACATTATGTCAGGCAGTTGGTCTTTACTGTAGGCATCTTCGAGATCTAAAGCTACTTCCAAAGTTTTCTGATCAGCTTCAAAGCCTTCTCATGTATCAGCAACATTGATCCAGGTTTCTCTTTCAACTCAATAACCATCTAATTATGAAAGTAGCAGTGGTTCAATCTGATCTTCTACTACAGCTTGCTCTGGGATCTTATCACTGATGTTTTGTATGATGATGATTCAATGACCTTTAAAGAAAAAGTCAACCTTCAAGGGTTTGGTAAATGCATCATTCCATATCTTGGGAATCTTACTTGTTACTCAGCTATATTGATATAACTTCAACAAGTTGGCTTCTTGAAGGTGGAAATTCTGACACCATTTGGACTTAAGAGCTCATCATTAGATTAATTTATAGTTCTGTATATCTCATCCAAGCTAATTATAGCTTCCATATCTGTGTGTATTTGTAGCTTGGGCTTCTCTTACATGTCATCATGCTTGCATTAGTTATTTATCTGTGTATAAAGGCTTTGCTTTGGTTTTCATCTCCAGGAAGTAAGGTACCATCATTGTCGTAAATGAACTGACATCACCACGTTTTTGGTTCCTGTGCCTGATATAAGTCTGTGGAAGTACCAGAATGAAGTGCTTATTCATTCAACTTCATGTTTTGTGCATTGGAAGTTGGTTGCCAGTAGAGAGCATTAGATAAGCTATAAAAGATGAAACACTTTTTACCTACCATCCATTTTTATGAGATTCACAGTATCTTGAACAGCTCTATAATTTGGTTCATTTCGAAAAGCATAGGCCCAACTTTGGATTAGTTCAAGAATCTTGTTCCTAACATTTTCATTTGTTGTTGTCTACATGAGAAAATAAAGAGAAGAGAAAGAATTCATTCAGCAGATAATGTAAAACAAGTACACACACATAAGTAACTTAAAAAAAAAGTATTAAGTTCATAAAGCATTGGATGAATACAAGAACTATTAAGCAAATATAACCTTTGCAAACACATCAACTGAACATGAAATATTTGACCAGTAAGTGTTACTTTGTAAACTACAGTAAAATAAACTTTTACATAAACATGAATAAAACAGTATATTTCATATAAATTAAGTTAAGTAAGTGTTCCTCAAATTGCCACCATTACAGCAAGTTCGAATGTAAAATTCTATACATTAGTAGACAGAAAAATAACTATGTTAGTTTACAGTAGATCTGGGTGATTTAACCAATTATTTATGAGAAACAATTACCTTTATTAGTGTCATGTAAAATAACTGGCAGCACATGCCACCAACATTTTTTTTTTTTATATATTTGAACTGCTGACTAGAGGGAAGGAAACTGTTTGACAGCACCCACCAAACACAAGGAAATAGGAACAAAAACTTTGTACATTAAGACACTGGTTTCTATTCTGTCCCATTATGCTTATCATATTAACATACATACAATAAACTAGATAACTATTGGAAACACTAGATAAAACTAAGTTGGGTTTGTAAACCCTATAACATGATGTTTAACTAGTTCTAGTATAATTAACTTTCCTTCAAAATATCATAGAGTAAGTTCATAATAATTTCAATCACCACTAGACTTAACTTCAATGTAACTGGTATAGAATAAATGATTGTACGACATTCTTTCTTCAACCAGTTATGTCAACATCTATTAGGTTTCTGCAGCAAAATTAATAAAAGTTCCAGAATACAGAGAGTTAAGAGCTTATATTAAAATGATTTTGAATATGCAAGTCAACAAAACACACCTCACATAATGCTGCAGAAGGACAAAATTCATCAGTACTACATATTCACAATATCTGCCATTTCATAAGTAGTTTGATGTCACCAAAAATGTATCGCTTTTGGAAAGGGTATATAAACAACCACCTTCTGATACCAAATATTCACATACATAGACCATAAAGATGTGTCCAGAATGAGGATATCCCATGTACTCAGTTTAATGGGGAAAAAAATGTATGTTTACAAGTGAATTAGTGTCAGTGCACTAGGTTTAAAGAACCCACATTTCTGTTAGCACCCTTTTGAGACACTTCAATAGAAAACATGTACGATGCAAAACTTTGGTTTCATTTTCTAATCTTACTGTTCAACCCACAAATTACATCAACTATTCTAAACTAGAAACAGCTAACCTTGATCAGCTCTCTTAGTTCCTCCAGAAAAGGTTTGGCTGCAACTTCCTGATGAAAGGGAGTGCCACAATTTTTCACACAAGACTCCAAAACCTGAGCATAAGAGGGAAACAGAAGTACTATCTATAATCTTCTTTATCATTACTTAAGTGTTTAATAACTAATTAATGTTTTACATGGTAAAATAAAAATTAATGAGATTCATAAATAACTGTATCATCTTATAAATACTTAAAGAATGGTACTTATGGAACAAGTCCTGTACATATAATGCTTCAAGCAAGTGTTTCTGTTATATATATAGATAGATATTAAGTTTAAAATGTACTAAAATATGCTATGGTACTGATACTGTTATTAAAATAAGGAATGTAAAAACAAAACAATATGCATAAAGTTAACACATTTGTCAAGATAAGTCTAGTGGATCACTAAATGCACAAAATTAGTGAAAAACACATTCAATTTCTATATTTACCTGAAGGGCATATAATGCAACATGAGGATTTTGTGTATATAGCTTCTTCTTCATACCATTGAGTGCATATTTTGGTCTACAGAAAAATGAACATTAAATATACATATGAAAGGTTACTAGTGATGTATGTAGTTAAAGACATACTGTCAACTCAAATTTTCTTCATATCAGCAAAGTAATTTGTTTGGGCAAAAATAACAAACGCAAGTTTGAACATTGAACTACGTAAACTAAAATTTTTTTTTCATGTAATAAACTCATCCTTCATTTTTAAAGAAAATTTAGTGATATAAATAAATTATTTTTTTAAAACTAATAATTACAAAAATCATATTTTGCTACTGCAAAACAAAAATCTATTCACCACACAGTGAAAACATACAAACAGAGGAATGAAAAAAATATAAAAAATATTTGGTTGTAAGACTTGGAATATTACATTAACAACAATTTCAATACAATGAGAACATAATGTTTGTTTTTTCTTAGTCCTTACTTTCAATTAAAATTGTGTCCACAAATATAGTCATGACATTCCAAATATAACCTTTTGTGTGTGTGTGTGTGTGTGTGTGTGTGTGTGCCATAAGTTATGAAATAACAGAGATTTGTATTACATTCAACTGAAAAGATTAAAGCCTACCATTACCAAGTAGACCATTTTTCTTTCAAGTACTT